CCGGCGCCCTTGCCTCGCGGCCCCAGCCGCTCCGCGGCATGTGGGATCCTCCCGGACTGGGGCACGACCCCGGTCCCCTGCATCGGCAGGCGGACTCTCAACCACTGCGCCACCAGGGAAGCCCCTCACTCCCCATTCTTACTCTATTAATTAAGGAGTATTGTCAGCTCCTTCATTTTTGCCAACTCAAGGCTGTGAAATGCTACCTCATTCTGTTTTTAATTTGCATTTCCCTGATTACATGTGGGACTGAGCCCCTTTTCTGTTTTCATTGCCTGTTAATTTCATCTTTCCCTTATTAATTTGTAAGCATCTTTGCTATATTCTTTGTACTTTTTGTTGGTCATATTGGTTGCAGATACTTTTTTTCTAATATATGGCTTGTATTTTCTCTTTGTTTATGTTATCTTTTATAAGATAAATCTTTCAGAAGATTTTAATATTAATGTAATCAATTTTCTCTTGTTTTTCATTATAGTTCATCCATTTGTTGTATCATGTTTAAGAAATAAATCCTTTTCAACTCTGACATCAGCTAGATATGCTTCCTGTATTTTCTTCCAAAGTTCAAATGTTTTCCTTTTTTTCATATTGAAGTCATTAAGCCATCTAGTGATGTAGGATTTAATTTTATCTTCTTTTTTTACTTCTTGTATTAAGCACTGAATCTTTCCCCCACAGACTCTAATGCCACCTCAGCCATATACCAAGCTCACATATCCACATGGGTCTGTTGCTGAGTTCTCTCTTCTATTTTGTTGCTTTTTTGGTTTACTCCTGCATATATGTGCTTTAATTATTATGGCTTTATAAAAAGTTTTGACAGGAAAATCCCCCATGTTATTATTATCATTCAAAAATTTCTTGGCTATTCTTGATTCTTTCTCCTGATTCTTTCATATGAATTTAATAAGTAGCCTTTATCAGGTTACAGACGGGCCTAGCCGCTCCGCGGCACGTGGGATCTTCCTGGACCGGGGCACAAACCTGTGTCCCCTGCATCAGCAGGCGGACTCTCAACCACTGCGCCACCAGGGAAGCCTCAGACATTTCTTTCTAATCTAAGTTTGTTAAGGATTTTTAAAGTCATGAAGGGGTTTTGTGTTTTATCAAATGCCTTTTGTGCATCTATTGAAATAATTATAAGGTTTTTCCTTAACTATTTACAGTGATGAAATACATGAATAATTTTTTTGTGTGTGTACAAAGCTGTTACATGACACTACATCTTCCCGGTCACGTATTTTAAACATTATAGAAAATTTCAAATATATACAAAGCAGTCAAAGTGATATAACGAACCCCCATCTACCTATCATCCAGCTTCAACAATTATCAGCTCACGGTTTCATGACTCATATTTATTTATTTATATTGAAGTACAGCTGTTGTACAGTATTGTATAAGCTGCAGGTACACAATACAGCGATTCACAAACTTTAAAGGTTATACTCCATTTATAGTCATTATAAAATACTGGTCTTGGGCTTCCCTGGTGGCGCAGTGGTTGAGAGTCCGCCTGCCGATATAGGGGACACGGGTTCGTGCCCCGCTCCAGGAAGATCCCACATGCCATGGAGTGGCTGGGCCCGTGAGCCATGGCCGCTGAGCCTGCGCGTCCGGAGCCTGTGCTCCACAGCGGAAGAGTCCATCTTTCTCCAAAAAAAAAAAAAAAAAAAAAAAATACTGGCCATATTCCCCATGTTGTACAATGTATCCTTGTAGTTTATTTTATACCTAATAGTTTGTAGCTCTTACTCCCCTACCCTTATACTGCTCTCCCCCCTTCCCTCTCCCCACTGGTAATCACTAGTTTGTTCTCTATATCTGTGAGCCTGCTTCCTTTTTTTGTTATATTCACTAGTTTGTTGTATTTTTTAGATTTCACATATAAGTGAGATCATACAGTATTTGTCTTTCTCTGTCTGACTTATTTCACTTAGCATAATACCCTCCAAGTCCATCCTTGTTGCTGCAAATGGCAAAATTTCATTCTCTTTTATGGCTGAGTAGTATTCCATTGTATATATGATGTGATGCGAAATAAAGTGATGTAGGGTGTGTGTGTGTGTGTGTGTGTGTGTGTGTGTGTGTTTGTTGTTTTTAATTTATTGCTATATTTGGTTTCCTAAATACTATTTGATAGTGAAATTGACCTCTGATTTTCTTTTCTCATTCTGCCCTCACCTGGTTTATATTAACCTCATAAAATGAGTTGGAGGTTTTGCCTCATTTTCTGTTTCCTGGAATAGTTTCTATAATATTTGCTGTAACTGTCCTGTAAAACTATTTGGGCCTTGTTCTATTTTTTGATTGTTTGTTTTGTGTGCATGTGTATGTATCCATGGATTTTTAATTACTGATTCAACTTTTAGAAATGGTCATAGATCATTTCAGATTTTCTATTTCTTCTTGCAACAGTTTTGCCAAGTTCTGTTTTCTAGGAAACTATCCATTTTATATTTTCCAGTTTGTTGGTGCTGTCATTTAACAGAGATTTTAAACTAGCATTAAACAGATTTTTTAAATGTTTCCTGTGTCTGCAGCTATGTCCTTTGAAAATTCTCGCTTGTATTTATCTGTGCCTCTTCTCTCTTTTGTTCTTTACCTGTCTTCCCAGGGGTTTGTCTATTCTAACGAACCAGCTTTTTGTTTGTTTTCCTTCTCTTTTTCCCACCCATCCACAACCTTATTCTTCTTTTTATTAATTTCTGCTCATCTTTTTAAAATAAATTTATTTATTTATTTTTATTTATTTATTTTTGGCTGCGTTGGGTCCTCGTTGCTGTGCGCGGGCTTTCTCTAGTTGAGGAGAGCGGGGGCTACTCTTCGTTGCAGTGTGCAGGTTTCTCATTGTGGTGGCTTCTCTTGTGGTGGAGCACAGGCTCTAGGCGCACGGGCTTCCGTAGTTGTGGCACGCGGGCTCAGTAGTTGTGGATCGCAGGCTCTAGGGCACAGGCTCAGTAGTTGTGGCACATGGGTTTAGTTGCTCCACAGCATGTGGGATCGTCCCGTAGCAGGGATCGAACCCGTGTCCCCTGCATTGGCAGGCAGATTTTTAACCACTGTGCCACCAGGGAAGTCCTTCTGCCCTTGTTTTTATTATTTTCTTTCTTCTACTTTCTTAACTCATGAATTTTAACTCCTTTTTCTTTCCTGGTGTATGCCTTTAAAGCTATCAATTTCCCTCTAAACTCTGTTAGCTACCTCCCATAAGTTTTGGAATTTAGTGATTTCATTGTCACTTAGGTCTATGAGTTTCCTATTTTCCATTATGATGCTGTCTTTGATTTTGAAGTGTATATTTAAATTTCCAAACTATGTTTTCTCCTTTACTTACTTCTAAATTATTTCCTTGGGAATTCCCTGGTGGTCCAGTGGTTAGGACTTCACGCCTTCACTGCCGGGGCCTGGGTTCAGTCCGTGGTCAGGGAACTAAGATCCCATAAGCCACGCGGCCAAAAATTTTTTTTTTTAATTTAATTAATAATAATAGTAAATTATTTCCTTTACATTCTATTGCATTGAATTCATAGAATGTGTCCTGCAGGATGTTGGTTATTGAGTATTTATTGAATCTTGCTTTGTGGTTTACTGAGGGGTCAGTGTCTGCAAAAGTTCCACGCACTCCTAAAAAGAATGCATATTCTCTAATTGTTGGATACATAGGTATGACTACATGTGCATTTCTCCCTGCCTCATGCTGGTCATTTTTAGTGGCTACCAGAGTTTGCTTGGCTATTCTTGTGTACTGAGCATTTGTGCTATTTCCAAGTTGTCACTGATTCGAAAACTCTAAATCTAAGTTTTGAATACTATTAAAGACCTGTATCTGTTAGCTGTGGCTGCATGACGCACTACTCCCAAATACAGCACCTTACGATTCTGAAGCTTGGCAGTTTGGGTTGGGCTCAGCTGACAGTTTCTTCTGGTCTTCGCTGGGCCCACTCCTGCAACTGCAGTCAGCTGCTGCGTTGGCTGGGAGCTGGCTGTCTAGAGTGGCCTCAGCTGGTTCATCTCTGCCCTATAAGGTTCTTCAACCTCCAGCAGCCTTGTTCACGTGGTGGCTGAGCATGAGAGTTCTATGAGAGTGAGTGGAAATTGTAGGGTCTCCTGAGGCCTAGGTTTAAAATGGCTCAATATCATTTCTCCTGCATCCTGTTGGCCAACAGAAGCCACAGGGCCAGCCAGATTCAAGGTGTGGGAAAGAGATTCCTCCTCTTGATGCAAAGAACTACGAAGCCACATTTTACACAGAGGGGGCTGTAGGGAGAAGTAAAGCATTGTGGCCAGTTTTCAGCCATCACAAGGCCTTTGATGCCCAAGTCTTCCTTTTCCCACTGTCCTCCACTATCCACAATCGCCCTTCCCTCCAGGTACCTGCTGACCCTCACCTCCCGACCCAGGAGGCCTTTCTAGACTATTCCCACCCATCCTTATATCCCCGCCCAGCACAGCTACTGCTCCTGGGGTCCCCAGGGAGGTGACAAAACTGTTTATCTGCTTGGCTTGGGGCAAGAGCTGTGTCCACCCTTCTCAGGGGAGCATCATCTAGGCTGTTGGTCCCCAGACTAGGAGTGGAGGGGGCCCATGAGAGGGTTTCTGAGCCACTGTGTCTCCTGCAGCTCGTGTGGGCCACCTCGAGCCAGCTGGGTTGTGGGCGGCATCCCTGCTCTGGGGCGCAGGCTGAGATGGAAGCCTTTGTCTGTGCCTACTCTCCCGGGTAAGCCTCCTCCATGGCAGCTGCCCTGCCATCCCCTGCTGGGCTGCGGGGTAGGGGATGCTGTCACCCAGGGTGAGACCCCCACCCACCCACCCACAGGCCTTTACCCCTTGGTCTGCACCCCTGCTGGGAGAGGGAAGAAGGGGGGAAGGGAGAAGGTGCCGAAGTAGGCAGCACCCGAGAGTCCGGCCACGCACAACGTGGCTTCCTCTCAGACACCCCTTCCTGGAGGCACCACCCAGTGTTCAGACCATCTGCCCAGTATTAGTTTGGAGGTCATCTTTTCTTTCCTAGGAAATCTCCCCGTCTCACCCAGCTCCCCGCCTTCCTGGCTGGGCCAGAAGGAGCTGAAGGGGCTGGTGGGGCAGGCAGCAAGGCCCAAGGCCAGGTCCTTCTAGCCTCTGCTGCTTGCTCTCACAGAGGCAACTGGGAGGTCAACGGGAAGACCATCGTCCCCTACAAGAAGGGCGCCTGGTGTTCGCTCTGCACAGCCAGCGTCTCGGGCTGCTTCAAAGCCTGGGACCACGCAGGGGGGCTGTGTGGTAAGTGCCCCACCCTGCCTGCCTCTGGCTGGGGCAGCTTGATCTGGTGATCCTGGAGGAGGCTGGCAGCATCCTGAGGGACTGTCCCAGAAGCCCTGGCCCTCAGCACTCGGGGAGGCACCTGCCTGGCCTGCCGGGGAGAGGCGCCCTCACAGCGTTTCCTTCTCATCCGACCAGAGGTCCCCAGGAACCCATGTCGCATGAGCTGCCGGAACCACGGACATCTCAACCTCAGCACCTGCCACTGCCACTGTCCCCCGGGTTACACAGGCAGATACTGCCAAGGTGAGGGGCACCTGGAGTTCTGGATTGTGACCGCCCGGGGGACCCAGGGAGTGATCCTCACACAGCGTATCCTCATCCAGTAAGCATTCCCTGAGCACCGACGGTCGTCTGCCAGACCCTGCGCTGCGCAGGGAATTCAAAGTGAAATCAGATAGGCCCCTCAGGCCCTGGGAGGGTGGGAGGAGGACAGTATTAGGATCCAGAAGTGGATTCCTTTCCCATTGTCCCCCACCCCCCAGCTCTGTGACCATGAGCAGGTCCACTCCCAAACCCCGATTTGCTTCTCTCTACAAGATCAAACCAGAGAGGCCAAATGTGGCAGCGGTTGGGAGGCCAGATGGTTTCCATCTCTGGGGGGCAGGGGTTGTTCTTGCTGTGGTTGGCCATTCTGCGCACACCCGTGGCCTGTGAGGGGCAGCCTGGGGCCCAGTGGCTGCCAGCTGAGTGCCGTCCCCTCCCCTGCCCCATCCTGGCAGTGCGGTGCAGCGTGCAGTGTGTGCATGGCCGGTTCCGGGAAGAGGAGTGTTCCTGCGTCTGTGATGTTGGCTATGGGGGAGCCCAGTGTGCCAGTGAGTCCTGCCGCAAAGCCCCCCGACAAGACGAGCCCCTCCCAGGACCCCCTCAGCTGGTGCTGGGTATGGCTCGGACCAGCTCACAGGAGCCCGTCGTACGCACCTCTTCCCCATTCCCCGATCAGTGACGTCACAGTGGCAGCTTGAACTTGGCCATGGTGGGGGTCTTTACGCCACCACAGAAATGGCAATGCTAAAATCATAGACTATTTTTTTTTGAGGGAGAGCTGGTTGTTACACATTTACCAGCACACCACTGACCCCAACCCCCTCTCCTGCTTGGTGGCCAGAGGAAGGGGTACCTTGACCTTAACATCCTGGCAGGACCGGAAGGGTAATGATTCTGAGGTGCCCACACACAAAATCAGGCTTCCCTCCTCCCAGCCAAGGTGCACTTTCCCTTCCACACCTGTGACCTGAGGATTGATGGAGACTGCTTCATGGTGTCTTCAGAGGCAGACACCTATTACGGAGCCAAGATGAAATGCCAGGTAATGGTTGGCCCCTGCCTTCCCAGGGCCCACCCCCCCGGGTTCTTAACAGAGGGACCCTGGGCTAAGAGATGAATTCCTTTGACTTCTCCTGACTCTCATCTTTAGTATAAAGCAGGGGTTAGAGCTCAGAGGCCCATGGAAGCCAGGAGGTCACTTAATGAGCTGAGGGACCCAGGGACAAGGCCCCACTCAACCCCCATCTAAGGGGCCATCCTGACTCAGCTCGAGCTGCTGGCTGCCAGGCAGGAATGCAAGTTCAGGGAGGCCAGGACCTGGAATTTTTCGAGAGAACCAGAAATTAGAGAACCAGAATTCAGATTTTCACTGAGCTCTCTCAATTTATTAATGTTGGCAACCAATTCAAATGTATTAAAGACACTGAGCAGGTGAAACAAAACCCTTCCAAGTGTGGGACCCTGACAGAGGAGCTGTGGGCAGGGAAGAGAAGGCAGACTCTGCTCTAAGAGGCAGGAGGCTTTGGGGGGCTGATGACAGCCCGGCCAGCACACAGATTGGATATCCATGGCCACAGTGGGTGGCAGGATGGAAAGGAAGGGCTGGCCTGAGCTCTGGGGCCAGCATGACCCGGAGCGGGGGTTACAGGGAAAGGGCGGGGTGCTAGCCCAGATTGAGAGCCAGAAAGTGCAGGACATCCTCGCCTTCTACCTGGGCCGCCTGGAGACCACCAACGAGGTGACCAACAATGACTTTGAGACCAGGAACTTCTGGATCGGTGAGTGCCTGGCTGATTGGTGGAGGGGGGGAGGGATGCAATGAATGTGGGGCTGGGATGCCTCACACTGATCCAGGAATCTGGGCCGTGGAAACCTAGAGCACCTACCAGCGGGCAGTAAGGGTGTGATGAGGGCTTGGGGCCCAGAATGGCGCCAGTAGTCAAGCTGGTGACTCCTTTCCCTGCGGAGAGAGCCGAAGGGAGGGAGAGCCACCAGAGGGGCTGGAAGTGCTGGGAAGGGGGCTTAAGGGCTGGGGGTTGACAGGCATTGGGCAGCAGGCTCTGGGCTCAGGCCCTCATCGCAGGGAGCCTGGGCTGCCAGCGGGGCCCAGGGATCTCGAGTGTGAGGCCAGCCTTGACTGCTGTGGCTCAGGGCTCACCTACAAGACCGCTAAGGACTCCTTCCGCTGGACCACCGGGGAGCACCAGTCCTTCACCAGTTTCGCCTTTGGGCAGCCTGACAACCAGGGGTGAGTCTGGGGTGCCCTCCCTCCCTTGGGCCCACCTTCTCACCTGGGCCTGCTTGCTGAGCCTTCAGACACTGCTGAACAACCTCCACCCTGCCTGTTGCTTGGCTGAGCGCCCTGAGGGTCTGGGCCTTACCTGGTGCCCAGGTGCCAGGAAGTCCGGGCACAGCTGGGTGTGGGCCCAGGGCTGAGATGAGGTACATCCCTGACCTCCAGGGGCTCAAATAAAAGAGAGGGAACCCAAGAAGGCTTCATCCATCCACAGTCCCCATCATCACTCCAGCTGTCTCTCCGTCTCTCTATTATCTATCCATCCCTCCCCCCGACTCCGTGCCCCCTCTGCCTGTATCAATACACTGATTCTGCCCTCCTTAGCTGGCCACCCACCTGCGTCTACTCGTACATACATCTGCCCACTGGCCCGCCTGCACTGAGGCCCAGCCCTGGTCTTCAAAGCCCAGGAATG